CACACACACACACACACACACACACACACACACACACACACACACACACACACACACACACACACACACACACACACACACACACACACACACACACACACACACACAGGGCTGCATCGCATCACGCGCTGATATCGGCCGCGACAGCGAGGCGGCAGTCGTTCATCTCTGCTGCTGCGGTGGAGTCGTGATGACGATGGTGATCGTTGACAGCATGATGACCACCACTGTCACCAAGCAGCGGGAACACAAAGGACGGAAACGAGGCGGGCAGGTGCTGCGTCGCATCAAAGCTCGCGTCCGCGCTGAACGTGTAGAACTGCATGGGCTTGTCAAAGCCGTTGAAGGTGCTGGCAGCGCACGACGTGTATGCGCCCATATCGGGGTAGAAGAGCCAGTCGCCAACCTCCAGCTCCGGCAGGGAAGCACGCTTCTCAATGCAGTCCATGGAGTCGCAGGTCGGCCCCCAGATACTGCAGGTGAGCGGCGGGGCGCGCTGCACATCGCACCGGCTCAGCAGCACCTCTCCACGCACAACCGCGTGGTCAAACAGGATGCAGTTGAACGACCCGTACACCCCATCATTCACATACAGCATGAGCGACTGCTTGTCTTGGTCGTGCTCAAGCGAATCGTGTTGCTGCTCCTGCTCCTGCACCTGGTGCTGCTGATAGTGACGAGTCGGTGAGCAGGGGCGCGATGCTGGGCAGGAGGTGGAGGCCGAGAGTGACGGCGTTGTTGGCGATGGTGGTGACTCCTGACGGGGCGCCCGCATGCTCACAGCACGCTCGCGGCCCTTGTTGTGTCGCTCTCCTGGTCGCGCTTTCGCTGCAAGAATGGTGCCGTCGCTGCCGTCAGCGCGTGTGCACTCCACTCGTGTTGTGCCGCGACCCGTTGCACCCAGCAGGACACTATCATCTTCGTCTCCTTCGTCTTCGCCATCACTGTCACTGCTGCTGCCACTGCTGGTCGCGCTGCTGTCCATATCACGCATGCCGCTGGCGCGCGGTGTGGCGTGAGCAGCATCGGCACGGTCATCGCCAGCGTCACAGCCACCGACAACACGAGGAGCAGCAGCAGGCACATCGTGGCATCGGGCTGAGCTACCGTGTCCATTCCCGGTTGTGTCGATGGCACGCCTGTTGTTGTTGTTGTGGTCGCCAGCGACCTCGTGTGGGGTGCGTTTGCCAATGACGGAGACGGCGAGGCAGCACGCCGACGCAACGTAGAAGCGGCCTGGCTCTGCAATCACGCGCACACCGCAGGACGGCGGGAAGCACTCGTCCACGGCGCGGGTGAGGCACGAGGCAATGGCATCAAAGGAGATGGCGCTGGTGTACGTTGTACCCGGGAATCCGCCGCCAACATCGAGCAGCGTTGGGCGGAACCCGAGGGACAGCGCCTGGTCAAACACGGCACGTGCGCGGTACACGGCATCGGCAAAGGCGGACGCATCTGTGGAGCCGGAGCCGACGTGAAAGCTGACGCCCACAACATTGAGGTGCAGGGTTCGTGCCAACTGCAGCAGCCGCAGCGTACAGGAGGGGCGTGCGCCGTACTTGAGGCCCAGTCGGCACACCGCCTTGGAGTCGTCCGCCAACACACGCAGCACCAGCCTGGGGCCATTTGGGTTGTGTGCAGGGTGGGGTGGTTTTAAGTGAGGTGGTTCGAATGTGCACGTGGTAGGTGAGCTGACGCACTGACATGATACTGAGACAGAAAGTAACATGCGGGGGGAGCGGGAGGGCAGACGCACGTATTGCAAACGTAGGCGCTCAAGTGAAAGTATTCACGTAAGCATGCACACACACGCACACGCACACACACACACACATGACGCACCGTGCGGAGGGAAAGTGCTCGGCGCATTTGAGCAGCTCGTTCTCGTTGTCAAAGGTCATGAGCTTAACACCCTTCTCCTTGGCATAGAGCAAGTGGGACAGGGCCTTGCATGGGTTGGCGAAGATGATGCGGTCTGGGGCCACGCCCAGGTCCAGCATGGCCTGAATCTCTTTTGCAGAGGCGCAGTCGAAGCCAAGGTTGAGGGCAGCGAGGGCCTTGAGGATGACGGGATCGCTGTTGCACTTGATGGCATAGAAAGGCTCGATGCGAGGCAACATGGCCTGCCATGTCCTGTGCTTGCACCAGATGTCGTGCAGGTCGGTGAGGAAGAAAGCCTCGCCGCATGTGCGGTTGGCCTCGATGATTTCACGGCATGCCTTCTTGCGAGCGGCAACGTTCATGCCCGCAACAGGGTGCACCTGCTGCACTTTGCCGGCATGGTCAAACTTCATCGAGAGGGCGTGACACTTGGGAGGAGGGGGGGGGGGAGAAGATGAAGGAGAAGGAGAAGGCGAAGGAGCACGAGTGCGGCGGCGGGATTCCCACTTGGAAGCTGACCAGGCACACAGAGGGCCAAGAACGCGAAAGGCCTCAGCGAGGGGGTGTTGTTTGTGTGTGCTCTGTGCTCCGATGCAAGGCAAGAAGGGCACAAGTTGAGCGAAGGGTGCTTGGAGAGATGGAGATGGAGGGGGGGGGGGGAGGGGCGTGCTATCGAAACACGAAGAGGAGGTACAGTACCACCACCAGCGAGAGCGGCAGTGGTCGTGGGAGAGAAGGGAGGGCTGTCAAGGCATGGAGCTGCAGGGGCCACAACAGGCGACCAGGCGCACGAAGAACACCGGGAACCGCGGAGGGCGACAAGGCTGCGGTTGTGTCGGGGAGAGGGGAGCAGCGAGCGAGGGCAAACGGAAGAAAAGACAGAGAGAAAGAGAAATGGAAGGGGATGAGAATGATGGCACAATGAGTGAGTGGCGCATGCGGAAAGTCAGAGTGCAGTGGCGCTTGTGGCTTGCGGTTGAAAAGCAACATGCTGCTGCCTTCTTCTTCGTTCGCCGTTGTGGCCAATTACGTGTGAGCCTGAATTCAGTCGCATTCGCATTGCGTTGCCAACCGCTGACAAAACATACACGCCAGGCGACATCATCGCGAGAGCGCGGCGCACCCTCCACGACAAAGACAGGCAAGGCGACGGGGCAGCGACGACGAGACAAGGGACAGCGGTGACGACGATCACCAGCTACACCCACAGCTACACCCACAACTACACACAGAGTGAGTGAGCGCCATGGAAGGGGAGCCAAAGAAGAAGCAGTACAACACGCTGCTTGCACGGCGGCGGGCCGAGATTGGGCGTGTGCACACGCCAGAAAACCCGCAAGTGCATGACATGGTGCACGGCGTCACATCAAAGGCCATCGATGCACAAGGTAAGATCCAAACAGATGGAGGAGATTGTAGGGGAAG